ATGTATTCAAAAGTGTTATGTAGAAATTTGGCCTAGACTACAACATCATCAGGATGAGGGACTCTTCCATTGGTGCAGATTGGCTACTCAACTGTAACTTAGCATCTTAGAGAATTGCCTAGGAAACTGAGAGTGTAAATGACTCACCCGTAATCACAAAGCTATTATGGGTAGTATAGACAGGACCTGAATCCATACTTTCCTGATTCCAAGGCTGGCCCTTCATCTGTTACGAACTACTGCCTGTCTGCATGGAAATTGCTTCCCATTTATAGTTGTTGTTGTTGTTGTTCAGTCATTTTCAATGATGTTCAGCTCTTTGTGACCCCATTTGGGGTTTTCTTGGCAAAGATACTGGGGTGGTTTGCAATGTCCTTCTCCAGCTCATTTCACACATGAGGAAACTGAGGCAAATAGGGTTAAGTGACTTGTTCAGGGTCACACAGCTAGAAATTGTCTGAGGCCAGATTTGAACTCAAGAAGATGAGTCCTCCTGACTCCAGGTCTGGCACTCAATCCACTCCATCACCTAGCTTTCCTTCCCATTTATTACTTTAGGTTAAAAAAGTTCTTTAAAGGCAACTAGGTAGGTCAGCTCACCTACCCCCTTTTTTCATTAAACGTTTCAGGTCTAGGCTAAGATCCCTGAAGTTATGGTCAGAGAAAAGGAGAAGAGTTTGACTTGTGAATTTATATATTTTTCCTTGCTTTATTATTTCAAAATGCTTTAGCACTGTGGCGATAGATACTATAGAAACTGTCAGGCAGACAAAATCAGAGGCAGGTCCAATTCCTTGTCTGGTGGGCCTTCATGAAGAGCTGATCCTTAGATTTTGGTGGCAGGTAAAACAATCAATAGATATTGTTGGTGGGATCTCTAAAGTGCATGGAGATCACCTGGTATTAAAACAGATGCAGCATGAACATGAGGGCATGTATTGCCATTTTTAATTTTGAAAGCCAAAGAGAATAAAGGAAAACCTTGGAAAGAAGTCAAGGAATAACTTGCCTGCAAAAGCCCAATCGGTGACAAGGCCTCTGCTGCAGCCAGAGGGCCACCACTCAGGGCTGTCTGGGCAGGGGATCAGAGGCTGCACTATCAGTGTGAAGTCCTCCAGGCCCCATCTCCTTGACAGTGTGATTTAAAGAAAGCTGTTCTTCCTCTGTCCTTTCCCTGCTCCTTTGGCCTTGAACACGCAGCTGCCTAGGAGAGGAAGGGGCTTTGAGATAAGTCTGTGTGTGTGTGTGTGTGTGTGTGTGTGTGTGTGTGTGTGTGTGTGTGTGTGAGTGTGTGTGATATGTGATGACTAGTTTTATAACATATACAATGAAAAATGTTTTCAGTGCTGAAAATTAATCAGCTTCTGGTTAAACAGAAATAATATTTTGCCATAGAAAGCAGTTCTGTTTACTTCCTTATTTATGACTTTTTTTTTTGGAGGGAGGGAGTTTGCATTTTACCTCCCAGACAGAATGCCTGCATCTACTATGTAGTTCACAGGAGCTTTCAAATATGAAAGTTTCTTGGGAAGAAATGATGCTGTTATTTTATATAATTTTTTGATATAGACCCTAAATGAAGTCTCTGAAGAGGAATATGTCTTTTCTAACAACCATCATTTTTATATAAAATAGAAGGTATTCATATTATGTCTTCATCTTCTATATCTCAACTAGTAACAATATCAGAACTACTCCCTCCTGACAACTATATTCATTTCTCATTAAAGATATTTCATGTTTTATTCAGGAATTTAAATGAAGCTATCAGAGCCTGTAATAGCATCAGTTTGGTATAATTGTATCTCACTGATGCCAGCCTCAAGAGTTCTAATTAATATATATTTAGCTCCCTGGCTGTCTTTAGACCAAATGGTTGAATGTGGAAGACAGGAAGAAAAAAAAATTACATTTAGATTTGGGCAGGAAAATCTTTTTGAAAGAGGGAGTTTTTTGGTAATTGTGCAATTCAAGGCCATTTGCTCCTGCCTATTTCCAGATCAGAAATGACTTTCAAGCCCCTGAGTTCTTTATGAAAAAGATAACATGAGATCATTTTTTTTGCTGACCACACATGCAAGTTATTAATTTTTTTCAATTTAGTTTTTTTATTATTATTTTTCACACCAAGGGATTTATTTGCATTCTCAATCCTCTTTGGGTTCTCCCCCCTCCTCCCTTTGTACTTCCAACCCCACATTATTAAAAATGATATTGTTCAGCTTTGCCAACATGAAAATGAATGAAGCCAGCTTGGGATTACTTGTCCTCCCTTAACCTATAATATGAAAAGAAGCTAATTGGGTATCAACCGCATTTCTATTGGGGTTTGCCATCCTTCCTCATTTCACCAACTACATACCCATTTTTACTCATAGGAAATGAGGCTAGGGAAATTTCTGGTGCTACTTAGAGATTGGAATTCATCATACTTGCATTCACTTATAAGCCTGGAATCTTTTCTCAAATCACTTTAGTTCCTGTGACTCTCAGCCTGGAGTTTATAAATCACACCTGGGGAGTGCTATATTCGGGGATCAAGACCTCTGGCAGCTTGAGACATATTGAATTGCATTGTGCCATGGAGTGTCATTAGGAGTTTACAGTAAGAAAAAAAAGGAAAGGCCTTATAAATAAGCTAATTCATTGGCACTTATATTTTTAAAGGCTTTCTTGAAGAAGAGAGAGAGGATGATGATGTTACTTGCTACCAGTTTTATTCACATCAGCAATAGCTAAGGTTCTAGCTCTTCAGTAGGAGATGAATTGGAGTTTCAAGATGCCCTGTTCCAAAAGTCTGAGTTTTTATTTAACCAACTGTTAAGGATCATTTAGTGGTTTATTTAGCTCACTATAAACTTACAATGAATTCGATTCATGGAAAGAATTGCTTAAGAGCCTTGTCTGCTGTGGCCGTAGTAGGTAGGATTACTGTCCCTTTTTTCCATTCTAATCAGTTTAGATGATCTTCTGAAGAGCCTTGCTTGAGGTTTGTGGATATGAGGACTTGCTGACAAAGAGATTTCTGATGGAAAGTTTAGTCAGCAGCTACATTTTTTTCTCTTCCCAAATAGCACCGTCCTATGTGAAAAATCATCTTTCTAAAATATGTGTGTATGAGAAAGAGAAAGGGGAGAGAGAGAGAGAGAGAGAGAGAGAGAGAGAGAGAGAGAGAGAGAGAGAGAGAGAGAGAGAGAGAGTGAGAGAGAGAGAGAGAGCTTGCACAGAGGGACAAAATTTATTTCCAGAAACATTAATACACAGCCTTATTGGAGACTGAGTCTATATGTCTAGACTCAGAAGGGTTTTATTATCTAAAACTTCTCACTGTGTGGTCATGATGACAGGTGTGTCATGAGGAGAACAATGACCAGAAACAGATGCGTGGAATATTCACTAATGTGTCAGCAACTCCAACTCATCTCAGCAGGAAAAAAAAAAAAAGGAAAGAAAATAATCTATATTTTCATGGAGCCAACTTCCATGCCAAAATGAGCATCTGTCTAGCTTTTGTGTTTGGTGCAAACAGGACTCACACACACAAAAATAATGTCAAAAGTTCAAGGGGTGGAGAGTTGAAAATCCTCACATGGGCGAATAAATGAGGTCTGCTGATTGGCTGGCCTTCACGAAGCTTTACATGAAGTGTCTCCTTGGGACTGAGTTGATGTGTTGCTTTGATACTCTGCCCTCGAACTTCCATAACCTGGATTGGAATGTAGCCCGGTCCTAAGAGATTTAGGGTCACTCCAGTTTGATAGTGTAAGGTCAAAAAATGGAATGAAGCGAGGATATCTCAATTGAGATTTGAGTGTATAAAAGTATAAATCAAAAAAGCAAAATCCTTGAAGGGACACCTTGCAGCTGTCTCGGCAAATGAAAGCCTTCAAAATAAGCAGATACAGGACCAAGAGAATACCGTGGCCAGTGCAACGAATGACATCATCCATGTTCTGCTTGAAGGATATGAAAATACAAGGGAGCACAGGGAACAGTACAGAGGGCATTGTTACAAGGGTAACCGGGTGCCGGCTAGGGATCGCACATAGGTTTTTAGACCATTTCAGTGGCAATTGTGAAAACATCCTTTTTAAAAAATCCTTTTCTTCAAGTTCTTTGTGGCAGGATGCAAATCGGAAATTCTATCCAGTGACCCAAGGAAGCATCAGAATTGAATCTCTGGTGTCTCTTGTTCTGCTTTGTCCTTGAAAATTCTGGTTAAACCCAAAGTTCAGGAATTCATTCATGAAGGGAAAAAGAGCATATAGTTTTTTCTCTGCATTTAGTCCTAAATACCACTGTCTCATTTGGCTTTAGGATAGTCATAATTTTATGTTTATTTAAACAGACATATCTGTAGTTTATGGGCATATTCCAGAATAGAAATACACATAGCTTGAAGTGCAGTTCTTATGGGCAAACACCTGATCCCCTTTAATAAGAGATAAAAGGGAAACTATTCCCTGGCCATTTGGAGACGTTATGGCTCCTTGCTAGTAGATAGTCTGGTTGTTTGTACTTCCATCACCAGAACATGGCAGCGTGTGTACTGATCCTGCAGGTAAAGTGATCGTGAATGGCTCGTGCGGATGCCACTTAAACCCACTCTAGCAGAACTTGCTGGAATCAGTGAGTGTTCTGCAATCATGATTACCAGAGAAGGTTTAAGAGTTCAGGATGTGCACAGCTGCCAATCATCTGGGATCAGGGTAGTTCTAATTGCTGTTCAGCTGCAGCAAATCCAGTTCTCTATATTTCAAAAAATTCCAAGAAGTTTCCTGTGTATCCTGCTTTCAGTTAGCCATTTTTATCATGGTAAAAAAAATTGTACTCAGTACTCTTTTCCCCTTCTATTCCCTTCCGTTCTTGTCTCTTGTCTGTCTGTCTGTCTATCTGTCTAATCTTGAGCCAGTCAGACCTGAGCTTCAGTCGTACCTCTGACATACACTTGCAGTGAGACCCTTCCTCAAGGCAGTTTTCTTCTGTATTTTCTTTTTCAGTGCTCTGGCCAACTTGCTACAGAAAAGCTGCCGGCCTGCATTGGCAGAAGTTTCCTCATCTCAAAGTTCTCTGCACCAGTGAAATAGCAGGTCCCTACATACACACATGTAACACACACACACACGTAACACACACATATTTAAAGTGAAATGAAAAAAAGTGAATATGCGTAATGAGGAAAACAAGATTGATTTGGGGTGGGGGGGGGACTGATATGGGAAGGAGGCATTTTTGCATACATTTAGACTTCATATTAGTTTAAGTGCACTCTGGCTACCATTCCATACAAATCAACTAGGGAGAAAATCACAAATTATGTACTTGCAACTCAAGAGAATAAAGGATACAGAACATATTAAGTCACCCCTCTAGCAGACATCCACATAGAACTTGATAAATCATTTAAAAAGTGACAACAAAAGGAAACCTGATCAAATGGCTGTCCAAATAATTATAGTTTACTCTTCAACTTTCTCTCACTGGAATCACATCATTTGAGTAGTCAACTCGCCACAACTAATTGTTGCTATCCAAGAAAAAGAAAAAGACTCATTTTCATACAACCACCTCTCTTCCAAATATCCAAGGTAATAAGGGAGATGGAGACAAGAGGACAGAGAGAGAGAGGGAGAGAAGAGGTAGAAGTGTATTCCCTCCATCCTAGCTTCTCTGGAGCTCTCTGTTCCACATGCTTATATACATCAACACACGCCTACACCCACCTGCGCACATACATTTTAGGTGGTGGTTTTCACTTCCTGGTGATTGGAAAACTGACCCTTGAAGTCCCATTCACCCAAAACAGTTCAGACTGCCATGATGTTTCTCTGAATCATCCTCAAAAGGAATGAAATGGTTGAGTCTCACTTCACCTTTGTACCTAGCCTGCACTGTTAAGTAGAAGGAGCTAAGAGGAAGGAAGAAAAGAGCAAAAGGCAAGGAAATCTATGATCTGAAAAGTGAACCTCTAAATAATCAAAAGTTGACTATCTTTCAAGTTTGATGAAAATGGAGTCCAGTTTGCCTTTCAATAGATGCTGTATCTCTTTGAAACGCCATGGATGTGCTAGAATGTTGTTATTGGCTCAGAGGCCACTATTAGCTCTCATTTCTTCTTTAAGGCAGCTCTCAGGCTTTACCTATAGGGCTTTACATGTTTATCTTTCTCCTAAGAGTAACTGAGGAATTAACTTGAAAACATGCTCAGGGTTCACTGGCAGTAAATGAACAAGGAAAACTGGCTCTCACGCTATTCTCTTTCAAAGCAAGAGAAAATTGCCATCCATGCATCCTCATATCCAAGAAATAGATATTTAAAAAAAAAACATGTTGAAATTAAAGGATTAAGCCTTGATCCTAACCTGAGTCCACTGTTTCTTTTTTAAACCCGACCTCAGTTAACATGTAAACTCAAATCAAGAAAAATCATCACCCTTCAGCTGAAAATAAAATTGCCTAAATATTTCAACACAGCCACTGTTTACTTTTGCCATTAGAGGCTGTTTTCCCCTCCTTGCTCGTTACAGGATACTACTCAGGAACATGTTTTCCAAGGCTAAGAATCAGGCCAGTGGCTGCTGATGTTAAAAGGACATGACATATGCACAAGGCAGGGCAGAGGGGCTGGCTGCACACATTAAAGTCAAACACATCACAATCCGATTAGCAGAAATGGACTGGGAATATCATCTCTGGATTTCCTCCCCAAGTAATACATGAGCAATTTTTGTTTCTTTTTGAAATAAGCAACTCTTTTTGATTTCCCTATTATTATCTTCTCTTTTTTCCTTCCTTAGTGTTGATTTCTCACTTTGTATAATTGAGGACAATTCTGCAATCCTTCTGACCTCTCCTATTCAACAGGTTTTTTTGAATGGAGTGTAAAAATATTGAATGAGGGATGAAGTACATTTTCATATTTCAGAACTCAGCATGCTTTTTTTTAAATGCTACATCTTAAGAAAAGGACAATTTTATCCACTAGGGCTTTTCTTTTTTTTTTTTTAAGCTTTCTGCATCAGTGGAGGGAGTACCTACAATGATGAAATCATAGCTCAAATATCAAAATAAGATTACTTATAATATTAGAAGGAGGGAAGGTAAGAGAGAAAGGAAGAAAAATCATATGGCAGAAAAGTCTACAGATGCATGTGGGAGGCAGAGAGTTCAAAACCGTTTCTTTAATGAACAAAACTTTCATTAGAATTCTAAGTGCCTGTATGTTGTGGTATTTAGAGTGGCAATGGATCTTTCATATCTAGCATTGTGTGCTTATTTTATGGATGAAGAAACTGAGGTTGAGTGAGGTGAAATGATTTGTCCAAGATTACACAGGTACTAATCAGAAAAAAAAACCCAGGATTGAAACTTGACCCATTGACAGCACACAGTGATCTTTCCATAACAAAATGAACTCACGTTCCTTGCCTGTCATGGTTTCTTTAGCTGAAGGTGAAAGTGACCTGTTCTAAGGCAAAAGAAATAAATGTGTATTTACCTTGCAGAACCAGGGAGCAATGATTTAAACTAAGCCAAAGGGGAAGAACTCTAGGGCTTCTTTACCCACTAGGTTGTCTAAGGGAAAATGAAGCAAAGGGGTAACAGGAATGGTATGTGCAGGGGGCGGGGGGGGGGAGTTACAAGAGAAACTCAGAGGAGGCTGTGAGCTGAACTGGCTTCCTGAGCTGCTTCCATCCTGAAACTTCCTATGCTCCTCTAATCTCGGCACAGCTGTTTCCTCTGTAATCTCAAAACCCAGCTGGCAGTGTGTCTCTACTCTTGGATTTATCTGTACAAAATGTACATCAAATCTGTCCTTGATAGGACATTTTCTTCTTCCTTTTCCCATCTCCCTACCTCTGTTTGGATTCCCCTTACTCTTTAAGCATATCATAGTTAGAAAACAGTTACAACTAGTTAGGACTCAAACCTTTAACGTTTTAAATGATAGGGTAAATACAAAGATGTTTATGATCTACAATAGTGAGTTTTGTTCGTAAACCTGCTATGAGACAAGGATGGATGGGCGGGTAGGATGATGTCACTAGTTTGTTAAAAGGAAGTCAGCAGAATGGGATGAAGCAGGTGGTCAGGGGAGAGGTGAATCACACCTCAGGTTTTTATGCCCCTGAAGCAAGTTGTAAAAGGTTCTTCTTAGGACAGAATAATAGGAAACAAAGTTTGACGAAGTGGTGATTTTTAATAGTTGAGAGATTGTATGAGAAAGAGACCACCTCATTTAACAAGTTAAGAGGATAACTACCATTAAGAATCTACATTTGATCTGTTTAAAGAAATACAAACACCTCTGTAGAAATTAAGTAGGCATTGATGGCTATGTATGCTTAATATTTTAATAGTTTGTTTTTTGTAGAGAATACATTTTTGACCTTGACATCCAGTTAAACTGATCCTCTTGCTCTTCTTCAGTTGTGACATTCTATCTCTTTTCTCTTATGTTCATACTTTCTCCCCATGCATACTTCTTCCTCATCTCCGAAGACTCTTACTTTCCTTCAGAACTCATCTGAAATACCATTTCAGATATGAGGCTTTACTTATCCCACCTTTGCAAAAATTGCTTTGTATTTACTTTGAAAACATTTTACACATACATGCATGTATGATGCATGTTTTTTCCTTGAATAGAATTTAAGTTTCTTGAGGAAGGACTGTTTCATTTTTCTCTTTGTATCCCTAGCACCTTGTATAATAGCTGGTAGACAGTAAGTGCTTAATAAATGCTTATCAATTGGTTGATTGATGACTCTGTTATACACTCCTGGAGAAAGTAGACAGTTGGTCTACCAACAACCAGGAACTACCACTCTTTTTGTGCTATGTTGCCAAAGAAGGAGTAAACAACATATCGTAGGGGCTGGTCTTAGAAACTCAAACCTAAAAAGTAACAACAACTATCAAGGACATATTATTGCTAATTTTTTATTTGTTAATTCAATTAACTATATGTGAATAAGGGAAAGCAAAGTGAATATATTTGTGCTATTAATAGCAAAATTCATTTGTCTTTACCTCCAGTAACAGGGAATTTTTATTCTTTTATAAAGTATCTCATTCTGTTTTCAGGAAGCCCTAATTATTGGAAATTCTTTCCTAAACTTGAATTTAGTTATTCACTTAATGTTTGCTGGTTGATTTGTTACTTCTCTTCATTGGTCTAATTTCTTCCTTCTTCACCCCTCCTTCTGAAGCCACAGAGAGTAAGTGATCTGTGCCCTTTGATGGAACTATGCAACTCTTGTTCATATCCTTTAATATATTTTGCAGTAGGTCCATATACCATGCCAAGAACTTCCCTATTGCTCTTTTGGCATTATAGAGATATCAATGCAGCACATGTGTTGTCCGTTTAGTATTCCTAATTTGAGTTACAAGATCAGCCTGCCTCTTTTCTAGTCATGAATCTTCTTGATATCTGGAATTAATTGTTCATAATAGGCTATAGTCTTTTTATACCCACCATGTGTCACTTCATGGCTCCTTGATTGACCCACAATTTTGATTTCTTGGAGATTATAGCATCTTTTATGATTTGCAACTAAAAAGCATCATGGGAAGAAAAGTAGTGTTAAAAAGATGATATTTCCAGAGGGAAGCTTTGAAACTAACATTGAAAAAGCTGTGCAAATACCCAAATGCTTATGTGGAATCACATACTTTATTGCTTCTATTCAATCCTGAGTGGTCCTGGTTGTTAGCCATTTGTAGCATCTTTCTACTGTATATGGGCTAATGGACTAGCTCTATGGCTCCTTTAATAGGATTTGCTGTTGTTGTTCAGTCGTTTTTCAGTTGTGTTTGACTCTTTGTGACTCCACTTGGGGTTTTCTTGGCAAAGATACAGAAGTAGTTTGCCATTTCTTTCTCCAGTTCATTTAACAGATGAGGAAACTGAGGCAAACAGGATTAAGTTACTTGCCCAGGGTCACACAGCTAGTAAGTCTCTAAGGCCAGATTTAAACTCTGGAAGATGTCTTCTTGACTCCAGGCCTGACACTCTATCCACTGTGCCACCTAGTTGCCCTTTAATAGGATAGCTATTTTTTAATTATTTAGTAGGGACCCTAGGTACTCTAGTAATAGAGTGCTGGACCCTGGAGGAGGAAGAC